TTTTTTTTTTTTTTTTTTTTTTTTTTTTTTTTTTCCCCCCAATCAACAGGAAGCCGAAGCAGTGGATCCAACCCCAGCGCAGGCAAAGGTAGACGTTCATCCCCACAGGAAAAGGGTCAAAGGTCAACATGCAGTGAATCAGAGCCAGGAATCCGCGGAGGGCGGCGTGGTGACAGATCTGCCAGTCAAATGAGCCATCACAGCCACGCCATCTCTAGCCAAAGTCACGCAAGGTCAAGTCTCAGCCACAGTCATTCACACAGGAGCCACCCTGTCACACAGAACAACCACCCCCCGTTCACCTACAGCCACGCCGCCTTTACTCAGCCAGCTCCAGGCTCCTGTGCCCAGAGCGAGCGAAGCCATGCCTCCTCCTACGGCCCCCCAGGCTTGCCTCCCCCTTATTGTCTGGCCCGTCTGGCCCCCAAGACCTCATTCAACAGTAGCACGCCTCCTGGAGCCCCACCTGGGAGAGAGTTAGCAGCCGTTCCTCCTGAGCTCACCGCCAGTCGCCAGTCCTTCCAGCATGCTATGGGCAATCCCTGTGAGTTCTTTGTTGACATCATGTGACAGAACAGTGCCTTTTTAACTCAGTGAGCACAAAACAGCTCTCCCTGATCCCTTTCAACCCTGTTCTCCTTTTTCCTCTCAGTCTTTTGACCATCTCTAAACTTCAGAATGTAGACACTGACTGGCCCTCTCCACAGCCCCCTGCTGTCTGTCCCTCTGATGTCCAAGCAAAGGAATACAGGCAGCAAGAGCACAACAGGAGTAGTCCTCTCGCACACAAGCAGGGGTCCTCTGGCTGAAAACCCTCTTTTGTATTGACGTGACGTGTACAGTTTGTGAAACGTGAGTGGTATTCAGTGTACTGATTTCTGTAAAGATGCCATGCAGACATTTTTGGGAGTGTGTACTCTACCTAGGATATTTTCTGTTCTGCGCCTTTAAGCTGGCTGGGCCTGGATCTCAATCCCCCAGACCCAGGCCAATAACTATGGCCTACGAATCTTTTTCTGGACATAAAACTCGGACTGGAACACCTAACTCATATTTGTGTATAATGCTACAGTTTAGCACATTACTCTGGCCCCACTCCCCTTATGTCAAGGCGCTGCCACTGGCGTATTTAAGCTCTTACCTGCCAACTACTAATAACGCTAACCTTGATCAGTTCACAATCCGAGGATTTCCATAAGGGAGACCCTTTAGCCAGCCTTTAGTTCGACTAGGCTGCATATTGCATGACTGTCTCACCTGCTTTAAAGAAAACATATTCATTCATTTTGTTTAAAGTATTACCGTTATTGGGGGAGGAGGTTACCTCTTTCCTGTGTTCTTAAGGAAGAATCCATACACTGGAACATTTTCGTGATGTTATTTATGTGATCCTTTTGCATTGATGGTGTCATACTTTGTCTACTACGAATGACTGACTGACAATCAGGCATCACTCTTTATGAAACGGTGGCCATTTCTCAATGTCCTAGGTGTGCTTTGTCGAATGTATCATTATTTCTGTCAGTGATTAAACCCTGACACCCATAACACTTAGTTTAAACATGTTTAAAGATCAGCAGGATTGCAAACTTTGGACACTCACAACAGCAAACTGTGAAAGCAAACTCAAAGGTTGATTAGATAACGTAGTTTGACAAAAGCATCAGGTTTGTCTCCTTCAGTTGTGGACTTTGTTGAAAAGTCAGTGTGATAAAAGCCAAAGCCTCACATTGTTTGGTGGACATGGCTCTTCATACTGTTGAAGCTGTCACTTCTAGTTGTTGTGTTCAGAGTGACTTCAAGGGGAATCCTGGCTTTCAGATGGTGATCTCCTTGCAAAACAATGGCAAATCCCTGTTGTATCTACCTAAAATATAGTTACAAGAGGGAAATAACACACACACTAGTTTTATGAGCACTTTCCCATTTTGTCCTTCCCTCCCTTTAGTATGAAGCACTGTTTGCAATCAAAGCTTTCTCTTTAATTTTCTCTAAAAAAAAGAAGAATAAATTGTAAATAGAAATTTATTATATATATATGAATAAAAATATATATGTTCAAAACACTGTCTTCATTTTTCACCTCACCTGGAGACTGAGTGAAATGCCACTAGGTGGAGACATTGTTTTGTGTATATTATTGTACAAACTATACATTTGACTGATAAAAATGCGATTTGAAAATGTGCTTAAGGTGCCGTTGCCTGTTTTAATTAGAAAGAAGTGTCATGCATTTCAAATGTATGACACAATCTCGTGGGTGGTTGGTGTTCATGACCGGCCTGTGGTCAACAAAACAGTCGCCTGAAGAATAGACAACCATTTACAATTATAGCCGAGATGGGTTAATATGTTGCAACAAAGTTTTAATGTTGGTTTTGACACTTGACAGTTAACACCCCTGAGTGGAGTTTCCAGTACACCAATTACGTGTACTTTCCCAGTGGGCTGGTGTTACTTGTAAAACGGCTATACAACAACAAGCCGACTGTATAGTACAGACCCCCATCTACTTGACCCACAACCACAGCCGCGGTTGCTGAGTGACGTCACACACCTACATCTATGGTGGGTGTGTAATAAAAATGCTCGTCAGGAAGGAAGTGCTGTGTAGGCAGAATAAGTTACTCTACTAAAACAGCAGCCCCCAGAAGAGCGCAATGACCTGTAATCGCCTTCGTGCTGTTTGAAATACAGGCCAACGGGTAAAGTGAAAACGTGTAGTCCCACATTAACAAAGCCTTCTGCCATGACAGTTCCAGGTTGACTGTGACTCTGAAGCTTATGTCAGCCTACATGCAAATATGAGCGCACACTCATTTACCAGCAGATTGTGTTGCTAAACTCCTTACCGAACAGCCCTGAAGTATTTCCCGAGCCACTATGTAAATTTGGGACGGGGTTTTACTGTGCTTCATTGCTGAATTTTTTTAAAGAGGAGGTTGAGGAGTAAATGTGGGAAGGGTTTCTTAGGGCGCGTTGGCAGATGAGGTACATACGCAGTCTCACACCACGCGCGCACTTTGACGTGACGACGCTATCGGTCGAGTGTGATGCATTAGAAAGTCAAAGGCCTCGTCTGCGAATGTCACGAAGTATCATATGATAGTGAGATGTTACAATCATGACTCAGCAGACAAACGTTATGCACGTGTATTTATTTGGTTCGTTTTTCCCCCTTCGCACTTAAATTGTTAGTTTGAATTTAAGCATGAAGATCCCCAGATATGTAATCACCTGACACCTCATCATTTGTCAGCAAATTCCCAGTGTTTTCCCAAACTCACACCACTTACTGTAAGGAAACGGTTCCTTTTTCAAAGGAAGTAAGTCCTACTGAGTTTGGGAATCGCTATACACAATTGAACAAAGGCACCTGAAAACAGTAAAGGTCACTTTTAAAAGCATCACTTTCATTTTAGAAGAAATATTCTTACAACACTTTTAATTTCATTTTCTACCTGAATATTTGCCACGTGTGTTGTCTAATACAAGTGTTAGCCACCAGACACATAATGATCTTCTGAAGAGTCCGTGAGGGGGGGAATTTCGAGACATTTTCAATGCCCTTTAAATAAACTTGTGATTCTGGGCATGATGTCTTGTCCTATGACTCATCTGTTAAATAACAATGACGCGTTCTCTGTTGTGAATAAAATCGTATTTTAACAATTGTTTACTTAAATTAAAAAAAAGTTTTATGCTGTACATTTTCTTTAATTTCACCTCAATTTTGCATTTCTTCAGTGTATATTGTATGTATACTATGATGCCATGACTCCCACGAGGAAGACAATGGTATTGGCATCCTTAAGCTTTGTTTATAAAACCGTATAGACAAAATAAAGTCCAGGAGATTAAGTAAAAAAAAAAAAAATCCCCCTTTATGACTGTTTCCCCGTTAGAGACAAAACAGAAAAGTTACGATGAAGATAAAATCCCTTTTATTTCTATTGTAGCGTGATAACAAAGCCTTTCCACGACAGGTAGTTAAGTCTAATGCTTTATTGGGAGACAATATACTGCGTAAATGCACTCAAATAGAAGCAAAAGCTTCTAGAAAGTAAAGCTGCTATTTGAATTAACTTCACATTTGCAGGTGGAGAACTTGACTGTGCTGTTGTAAACACATTGCGGCGATTGCATCTAAGTTCCAGGAAATCTAGTTTAGCCCTAGTTCAGACATTTCTATGAAGAACAGAACAGAACAGATTTGAACGGTCGTTCAAGTTTGAAGGCATGCATAACACGACATTATCACGGCTTTATTTGGTTACTGGTAGAGGAAAAGAAACGAATATTGTACTGAGCAAAGTTTCGCTTTTCTTTTTCCTACAGCCAGCGACAACTTTATATCTTGGTATCTCTTTGTGTATTTTGAATGAATTCATTTATTTTTAATAAATACATTGTAGTTGTATAAAAATGACTAAGACAAAAAAACTGTCTATACATGTAGATGAATTGTACCATGCTGAGTCACACCGTTGTGACACGCCCCCCGTCCCCCGCGAGAACACTTTTTATAAGCGCTCAGCTGGCAAGAGGGTTAAAAACCTTTCTGACTGCTGAAGTCGCAACAATACAGTCTGCTTAATATGAGTGCAGAGCGCAGAACGATGCTCACACAGATTTAGGTAAAGAGAAAAGCCGAATTAGTGCCGCGTGGAAGAGATACCTGGAATAATTCTTCGATTGGATTAAATCAACTCTCTCCTGGAGTGGCTGTATCATCTTCAAGGCTGGGAAGCTGAAGTATGGCTGTAATCGCCTGGCTGATCGTTCTCTTTTTGGGCATCCGCATCCAGTGCAGTGTTGTGGAGATGGGCTGCAAGGAATGGGCGCTAAAGGGGAGCGGTGTTTGCTGTAACAGCTGTCACCCAGGTAATAAAGAAAAAAAAAAGATCCAGAATTTCATAAAAGTTTGCAGATAGACTCTACATTTATTTGTTTTTGTACAGCTGTGCAGCTTTTTTGTTTGTTTGTTTTTAACGACGCTCTTTTGAATTAAACTACATTTACAGTTTAGCCTACTGTATATTCACGAGTGAGATAAAAGAAGTCTTTTCTTCCACATTATTAAACCCAGCTATTATCTTTGGATGTTGAAAAAAAAAAGTTGAGATTGTTTTCCAACCTTTGAGGAGTTCCTCTGCGGTGGCCACATGCAACCAAAGATAGTTTCAGTGGTTTTTCACCTAATCCACAACAAAGGCAAGGATGATGCAGCTGATATATCCAATCATTGGGAAATGTCACTGACAGAATTTGTCGGTTTCATTCCTGTACATCCAGTGTAAGAGCAGTAAATATAGTTATTAGAGTTCAAAGTTTTCTAGAAACCCCAATCTTATAACTTATGAACCTTAAAAAGGAAATCCTTTGTCATTTATTAAGATGCATTATAGCTTTGATGGAGCCAGTGTCACTGAAATTTATGTGTATTTTACTCCCTTGCTTATTTTTGCAGGAAATCACCTAGTCGAGGAGTGTGGTCAAACCCCAAAAGAACTTTGTAAACCCTGTGAGCCCGGGACCTATACAGTGCACCCTAAAGAATACAGCTGTAACCCTTGTACACAGTGTGTAGGTATGTTGGTGCATTAATTAAGTCACAACCATATAAAAGCATTTCATCAGCAGTGTATTAAATTCTGGGCTAATATAGAAATCTGTAGTACTACAAGAGCTTTTAATCTTTTTGTATGTTTAGGTGCTCAGGTCCTTCTACAAGCCTGCACTGCCACAACTGATACCAAGTGTGGCTGTAGAAAAGGACTTACTTGTGGTGATGAAAGTTGTTCCTTCTGTGTGAAGACATGTGAAAAAGGCTTTGAACCTACAGTTAATCGTAAGTAAAAGTACAAATAATAAGCTTTTAACTTTAGCCCAGACACTACACATGTTGGCTTAAATGGCAAATCAACTCACTGTCTCCACAGGTGACTGCAGAAAATGTCCAAATGGAACTTTTAACGACAAAGTTCACCAGAAGTGCAAACCCTGGAGTACCAAGTAAGATAATACCCTTTACTAAACACCACCATGTTTTACTGTTGCTGTAATAAAACACTTGATAAATCCCAGAAAAGTCACAGGGAATCTTTTGTCACGCTTGTTTCTCCCAGGTGCTCCAATCCAAATGAGCAGATTGTGTTAAAAGGAGATGCATTAAATGACATTAAGTGTGTTCCAGTTATACCTGAGGCAACACGTGGCCAAGAAGTTAAACCTGACTCTGGTAAGTCATGATTCTTTTTCCTCTTATCATACTGCTTCAGTTCTGATCTAAAGTTGACTATAACAGTGCTGTTTTGAAACAGATGCTCAAGACCCGATATGGCCACTGTTTGTTATCATTGGCATACTTGTCTTGTTCCCCGTCACCATCATCATTATCATGATCGTAGCTGTGAAAAACCTCCAGAAAAGAAAGAAGACAAAAAAGAGAATTCATGAAAAAATCATTGTAAATCCTACAGGTAATTTCTCTTGCATTTCATGATTAGGTAATATATCACCTGAATCATAGTGATTAACTATTTTAATTGCTTACTTTTCCCCTCTTTTTCTCCTTCAGATGATCCCAGGACATTAATTGCAATAGAGTGCAGTTTCCATGAGGCTCAGCAGGAACAGGGCAGCACTTGCAGCTCAGAGTCACTGGACTCTAAGGACTCTTCAGAGCAGCTGATTGCATGAATGGAATGACCTGGGCTAGAAAGCCGCATGCAAGTAGCTTTTTCCTTTAAGGAAACAGGATTTTACAGCTAAAATGGGATTCTTCTTTCTTCATACTGAGCCACTTTTTGTTTTTTTAAATGTCTTTGTTATACCAAGTTGCTTAGGCCAGCTGTCTTTATTTTAGAACAGCATAAGCTACTGTGTAAAAAGGCCTAAGAGGACAAAACAAACTGTAACATCATGCTCAGTTTTAACAACTGGATACAGTTTCAGTGATCCTTCAATAACACAGCCAGTTGAAACAAGAGGAAGGGGAATTCTGAGAGGGGAAAGAAGAAAGTGGACTTAACAATAGGTTATTCACCATGTAAATTCTAACAGCAGGCTGTTTTTTTGCCATCTTGAAATGTGAACACAGTCATGAAATAACAATGAACAAAAGCTAGCCTTTTTGCCATCACGTTTTTAAACTGCATTCAAAGTTCAGTCTACTTGCCCCAGTACACTGTAAAAAAACAGCTGTAGTCAGTAAGAGTATGATAGACAGTAATTAATCTGTTATTTGCCCGCCTGAGTGGTAAAACTGCCAAGTATTGCTCAGTTTGAAAATACGATGTGGGTGAGTGTGCAAGTGGGTGTAACAGACTGATTTTAGTCATATTACTTTCTGAGCCTTTATATTACCTCCCAGTAGTATGGTTTTACATATGCTCAACATAACATAGCAACCTACCTGCTGTTTATGGCAGTTTTGTTGTTTTAATTGTTTTATCTGTTGGTCATTTACAGTTTGTCTTTTTTTTTTTATAATTATTATTTGTTAAATTGTGAAAATAGGTAGCTAGACTCATTATTGCATGTAGCCTCTTCCACTCCACTGAACTCTACCAGGAACTATATGGACTTTCCAACTGTTGCTTAACTGGTCAAAAAAAAGCCCAGTGAAGGGACTTCCCTATTTTAAGTAGATAAAGCTACGATTCAAGATGAAGCACTAGGGAGACCTATTAGTGAAATACTGAGTGTACAGAATGGTTCACAAATGAAAGGTAAAAATCGTTCAGCTGTGACAATCACTGAGCATGTTAAGGCACGCTGTATGACTAAGTGTTTATCAGATCAAGTATGCGTTCAACAGGTCAGAATAAAAACAAAAATGAAATGCTCTAAAGCTTAGTAACACAATTGCGAAAATCTTTCAGTATTCCTCACGAGTGCCACATGGGAAATCCACCAATTATCGCTGTAACTCTTGAATGTCTTGGGAAATCCTGTGAACAAATATGCTTGACTAATGTAAATGACATGCAAGCTAAACCCAGGGGCCAAGCGGAAACCCCCCAGAGAGAGTCTTGTAGAGTGCGTTACTTTTGGTTTCTTCTAGAACAGCAGAGTGGGCAGCAAGATTAGACCAAACGGTTTTTTGTTTTTTTTTTAATTCTATTGCTCCCCTGGTCTGTAAAAGGCAAGTGTTTCTTCATGGAACATTTGAGAAATATACTGTGTGGGCTTTGCCTGAAAACGTTTACCCACGCCTATAGTAATAGAGCAGCGTATGAGTCACCTCTCCAGCAAAGCAAAATCAGTTAAAGACTTCAAAGTTCACAGGTGGCGCAGTGAAAAAGTGTTAACATTACAGTACAGTCATACAGTGACATTTTAATACGACTGCAGCACTTTATTATACCTGCTGAATATTACCTGATGAATGTCATGTACTTTTGGTTTGAATGTATAATTTTGTCTCACGGTGGTTTCCTATAAAATGGCTTCAGCTGTCTAAAGTACTGTATAAAACTGATTATATGTATTTTTACACTGTACTTACATCTCATTTTTGAACAAGCAATAAAGATTGTATTTATTATGTACAGAATAGTTGCAGTCATGGTGTCGTATTTCAGTTGTGTAAAGAAAAGAGTTTAAATGTGGCAGCAAGAACAACATACACAAAACAAAAAGAGAGACCAATAAATAGTAATACATGCATCAAAATTATTTCCAGTCACTTCTGTTAGATTCCTGTTTGGCATTAGGAATAGTGTTAAAGTGACCTGGTAAAACATGCAAGTGTTTTAGTTCAAAGTCTGTCTTTGGTGTTGGATTTCAGAGATTGCGAAATGTAGTTGTAAGCTCCAAAAGGTAATAGTAGCAGCTAAGCTTCATGTAGCTATAGCATAGAGCTATAGTTTTATTTATTCCATGAGCTGTCAGCAAGAGTATAATGAACTTCCTCGTTCGAGTGGGAAATAATTACATTTAATTTTGACTTCTTTCACTACCACTATGTTAATGTGATCCAGTTTTACAACTTCTGGGATTTCCATCTATAAAAAGTAAACAAAGTTAGTTTGATTGTCGTTGGATAACAGCAAACATGACAAGAACTGCTTTGAAACAAGATTACTTTGTCACTATTTCTTTGTAAAGATTAACGTTCACATGCTTCTGGAGATTCCCCCAAGAAATAGAGTGGAGGAAATAATTATTTGATGCCCTGCTGAATTTGTACATTTACTCACTTAAGAGGAAATTAACAGTCTCTAATTTTTATGGTAGCTTCATTTTAATGGAGAGCGACAGAATCTCAAGCAAAAATACAGAGGATCGGTTGATCCTTTACAACCAATCCAGAATTCTGGCTCCCACAGATTGCCTATATCCCTGCACATACAGGCAATTACAATCTGTCAATCAATTACAGACACTGGCAATCTGATGTGTATAAAGCAAACCTGTCCACAGAATCAATTTCAAAGTTTTCACCACCATGGACAAGACCAAAGAGCTGTCAGAGGAAGTTACTGACCAGACTGTAGACCTAACACAAGGCTGGAATGGACTACAAGACTATCAGCAAGAAGCTTAGTGAGAAGGTAAAAACAGTTGTGCGACTATTCAGAAGTGGAATAAAATGACATGGGAGAAAGCGCTACAGTCAGATGAAGCCAAAATCAAATTCTTTGGCATCAACTTGACCTACTGTGTTTGGAGGTAAAGAAACTGAGTGTGATCCAAAGAACACCATACTTACAACAAGTATGGAGGTGTAAATATTATGCTTTGGGGCTGTTTTCCTGCTAAAAGTACAGACAACTTGACTGCAATAACAGGGAAATGGACAGGGCCAAGTACTGTAAAGGTTTTGGATGGGAACCTCTTTCCCTCAGCCAGAACACTGAAGAGGGGTTGTGAATGGATCTACCAATCTGACAAGCACTCAAAACATATCGCCAAGGCAACAAAGGGGTGGTTAAAGAAGAAGCATATTAAGGTCATGGAGTGGCCTAACAAGTCTCCAGACCTCAATCCAATCTGTGGAGGGAACTGAAGCTTCAAGTTGCAAAGCATTTTATAACTTTTATATAATGTGTTTTTTCTGGATTTTTGTTAATGTTTTGTTTCACTCCATTAAAATAAAATTACCATAAAATAAAAACTGTTCATATCTTCATAAGTGAGCAAACTTACAAATTCACCATGGGTTCAAATAATTATTTTTCCCACATTATACCTAGTTTAGACATAATTTCTTTAGGGATTATTAAAGTATTCTGATTTAGACAATGGGATGAAGTTATATACTAGGTGGCAGAACATAGAAGTCCACTTGGATGGTTTAGTGTATTTGTAATGTAAATAAAGTGTAGGCACAACTTGGGGAGGACTGAGAGATCCAGCTGACAGTATACTGGTTAACTACATATAAAATACAATACAATAACATTTCCCTTTAGCATTTATAAAAGCCATGATTTTAAAATGTTGTCTTTACTCAATCGAGAATCTAAAAAGTCTCCTTATTCCACTGCTCTAAAAAAAAAGGCCAAGAAGGGCAACCGAAGGAAAGCCAATCCGGGCCGGTTTAACCCTAAAATAATAAGCAATGAGAACTCTAGCTGAACTGATTAAGTGTTATAAAAGAAACGGTGTATGGCCTACAGCAGAACACAGTGTTGGAGATCACTGTTGCTTGCAGTTCTCCTTCTTCTCTTTGGATTTACTTCGTCCTGATTTGTCTGTTTGACGCTTTGTTGGCGGAATAAATGTAGGCTCCTCAAGCATTTCATTTAGACCTGACTGTGGCACAGGAAGGGGCTGAGTAGCTGGACCTACAATGGAGGAAAAGGAACTGTCAAGTTATTGTTTCAACAGTTTCAACAGTGGTTTTATTTCAGTTCAGTTCAAATACCCATTTGTCCCATTTGGAGGCTCATTGTGCCTTGCCTCCTCGCCTGGAAGGTTGGATCCAATTCCTCTGCAATGTTTCTAATCTGCTGGGCTGATCTAAAAATGTAGCAGATATAAGTCACCATATTTTTGAAATATCAGACATACAGCATTAATTAAGAGATTTAACTTGTTAATTACGGTGTAGTGGTGGTGGGACTTGGCGGAAGGTTCTCTGGAGAGCAGTCCTCAGTCGGGGAAGGAAGGCCCTCTGAGTCAAGTCTCTCTCGTTGGACCTGAAATGAACAAAGAGGTTTCTCAGCTTGTTTAAAACCTCTGCTGGCAGAAACACCCAAAAAAGACCTTTCACACATATGCATAACAGGTCTGTGTATATGTTTGTCTTTGTCTTGAATTCCTAACCACATGTTCAAACAAACCTGTCTCTCTCTTGCAGCTCGTCTGTCATGATGATTTATCATCGCCCTATGCTCACGCCAAGACTCAGGTCCTTCCAGCTCACGAGATCTACGCTTTGATTTAATTTCTTGTTTCTGCATGAATCGTGCAATTTCCTACACAAACAAAAGGCATGATCTTACTAATCAGTTGGATGTTAAATAAACGGGTACTGATGACATGTCAGTTTATCATTCCACCTCATCCTGTGCCACTTGTGCTACTCTGAAGTCCCCGTCTGGATAAGGACAACGTTGAGATGGCTGAGAGTTCTGTGAGGAAACAGAAAGTAAATGTTCAGATCAACAAACCAAACTTCTGTTTTTCTGCTAACCTTCTAAACTACAGTGTTTCATGTTAAATTCTTGGATCAGTTACCCTCCCAAACAGCTTTTCCTCTTCCTCCTGTAGCTTGAGGGCCAGTTCTTCATCTTCTAAAACCTGCTGCAGCTCCCCCAGGCTCAGATTAGTTTCACTCAGCTCTGGTTGAAGTGGTGCTCCTAAAGATGAAGTTTGACAGTGTCAAATTCACAGAAAATTGAGCAACTGTGATGATGATGAGCACATGATTTGTTAAAAAAAAAAAAAAACATCACCCATTAATCATTCAAGTTTACCGAAAGAGTCAGGGAAAGGTTATTTACAATGACATTTGAAATGACAGCACAAGGTGAAAAGATGCAAAATGAAAGCAACTCCCTGGAATTAATTATCTTACAACCCTCAAGATGAAAAGAAAAAAAAAAGAATTAGAAGAAGGAAAAGTAGAGAATTAAAGTACAAAGCAAAGACTATTTTAGACCACTGATTTTGTAGATATGAAACAGGGAAACGTCCCACTTCAGTAATCAAGACACCACTAAAGCCCAAGTCCAGATAAGGGGATGATTAAGGGAAGATGAGAGGAGCAGATGTACACAGAGAGGGACAGCACCATGCTGGAAGCTTTCCCTCTGCAGATTAGAGTTGGCTGCAGGTCTAAGTGTTACCTGCTGCTGTGCGCCTTGACCTATCCCTGGTTGAAGCCCTGCTGCTGGTGCTGAGACTTTGGCTACGTCCTGGGGCTCTTCGGCGGGGTACATTTACTCTCCTCTCCACGTCTTGCTCCTCCTCTGAGCTTAAGCTTTCTTCTGCGGTCCTGTGTAAATGCCTCCGCTCGCTTGCTGCCCTCCTGACTCTATAATTATTTACATTCCTCTCTCCCCTCTCATCATTGTTACTCCACCTTCTACTGCCTTGTCTTTCTCTTTTAGAAAGGTCTGAGTCCCTTCTCCTAATCTCATAAATCTCTCCATTATCATGATGCCTGTCTCGGTCTTCTCTGTGATCTCTCCCACTGTTCTCTCGGTATGACAATCTCTTTCTCTCCCTAATATCTCCATGGAAACTGTGCCTCGTGGAAGCAGCTCTGTGGAAGGCTCTCTGATGTGGTTGGGAGTCGCCGCAGGAGACCTCACTCCCATGAAACACCTGGCTGTCTCTGCTTTGAGGCCTTATTTGCAGTGGCGCCCCATTGCCACCAAGCTTCACAGGCACACCCCTCTCTTTGAGGACACGGGCCAGCATCTTCCACACTTGGCTGCTTTCACTCTGCTCCCTGCGAGAGCTCCTCTTATCATCTCGAAAACGGACGTGTTTGTCAGGGCTGTCCTTGTAGCTCCAGGTCTTTGCAAAGTCTCTGTTGCTGTGTGTATCCCTGTCATGCAGTCGAACAGATTCACTGTGACTGCGTCGCTTTTCTCTAAACTCGACGAACTGAGAGCCTGGATCCTGACCTCTGATATCATACTCATCTCTGTACTTCCTCTCTTTATCCTGATTCCTAGGCCTCCCTTCATCCTGATTCCTAGGCCTCCCTTCATTCAGATCACCATTTTCATAAAAGTCCTCGTCCCACTCTTCTCTCTCCTCCCTGAACTCGTCTGAGAATGTTCTACGAGAGTAAACTCTTCTGCAATTTCTCTCTTGTGGCTGATGTAAAGATGCCCGCTGTCGAGCAGGTGCAGTGTTGAATCTTTCATTCAGCCTCTGGGACCAAACAGAGAGCTGTTCAGAGAAAACTGTGTCCGAGTCATCTGAATTTTCACTCAAAGGCTCTCTCAATTCACTCCTAATTTGCCTAATGGAATTGGGGTGTCCTTGATTTGACCATGAAGTTGTATTTTTCTGAGCTGCTAACCCCCTTGGGGAGTTAGTCTGAGGCCCAGTTATGTCTGAGTGAGAAGTAGAGGATCGCCACCTGGTGGTGGTGCTAGGGTACTGCTCTTCCCCCTGGCAAACGCTGTTGTGTGTGTGCTGTTGTAGGGATAGCAGTGCAGGGTCACTCGTGCTGCCTTTGGTAATGCCAAACATGCAAACAAAAAAGGGTGGGTGGGTGGGTGAGTCTGTTAGTGATTATTATTAATGATGAGGTAACACAGCAATAAAATCTACAATTAGTATAAATGGATGAAATATAACTGACATATTTCCATGCATTTACATACAAGAATGAGCCCTGCAAATGCTGAAAATGTAATTCCATGCGTTAAAGACAATATCAAAACAAACATGAGAGCAAGTTAGAACAAAAAAAAACATGAAGATATTCATGAACAAATGAGCAACTTTTTTATTCATGGCCTTGTAGTATCTGCAGCTGCAGTAATGATCACAAGCAGAGCCAAGAATGTTTAGTAAGAAGCTAAATAATGCCAGGTTGTGTCCTATAGTATAACAAAGCCTTCTGCAAACCACTAAAAATATCCAAAAACCCCAAAACATTTTATTTAAACAATGTGAAAATTTCTAAATAACCTTCATAACTATATACAATAAAGCTTTACCTTCACTATGGCTCCCTGACCCTCTACTTCGTCTCCTGATACTCTCCTCTTCCTCTTCTTGCAACCGTTTGGCAATTTCCTGTGGAAACAAGGCCAGTGTGTACACAAATATGACTTTCAGCAGATAAAATGATCTCTTCCATCAAATAAGCACTTAATCAAAGATATTTTTCTATTTTCCAGTTTAGTTTTCAACAAGATTCACCAACAACATGTAAGGCATTTCTATAAAATAATGTGAAGAATGACACAATCTTTTAGTGTATGACATAGTAAAAAAAAAACCCAAAAAAAACAAGAGCAAATAAAAGACTAAATTATAAAACAAAAAAACTGAGCCCGATTAAAAGAATGACACTCTAAATGGTCGGGTTACACTGATGTGGAACTATGAGTCGACATAACTGCAAGAATGAGGCTCCACATACATTGTACCCTTTTCAACCAACAGAGGGCAATATAACATAGATAAAATCAACAGCTGCAATTTGACAATGAAGGAAAATCTTATCCATGAATTAATATATCCCATATGGATGATTTTGCTTTTGTTCATAATGTAGCAGAGAGCTGTCTTGGGCTCCAGATATTCCTTCGTTGGTTTAAACCTCACACCACTCTTTAAACTCGCGTAGCTCCTTTAGATTTGCTCTCATTGGTGAGGTAACAACCAAAATGGACCAAAACCTTAGACCACATTTTTACATGAAGACAGGAATCTTTCTACATTGAACATGCAGAGTTATGTTGAGGGATCTGATACTGCTGGGAGGTGATGTGACATCTTAATAGCGGTCATTTAACTAATTCTGTTCTGGGTGGCCAGAGACACCACAGGATTTAGAACTCTGACTGAATAGAACCTGTAAGAAAAAATTAAGAAAAAGTAAACTTTTACAGCAGAAGCAGATCAATGCCACTGCTCCACTTGAAGTAACACTGTCACAGGGGATTGTCTGGTCTTACCAGAGCAGCTGTGTGTCTCTACAGTCCAGCTTCAATGTATCTAAGTGCTACTTTTTTGTGCTACCAATAAATCATCAAAATTCAACCAGTGAATTCTATGAGATTTCCCTCTGTGGGCAGCATTTACAACATAAATCATAAGCAAAAGCAAGCACAGCTGCTTTTGCCTTGCAATCAGGACATTTGTGTGAGCCACTTTGCCAGCATCAGCAGACAATCAGCAGCTTACCATGGCAGGTTAGGCGTGCAGTGCCACAGGGATCTGGCATTTAAAAGTGCACAGCCTGATGCCTTCTGTTCCTTAATTAAAGACACGATCTACAGGGAGGCAAATATTTAATCAACACCTCTGATCTCCCCGTCATTATGGAAAGCAAGCTAACGTGTGCGCTAATAGTCCATCATTTGATCCCCACGTCAACACTCATAAAAAGAAAATACTGCAGAGCCAAAAAAGTAAACTAGGGTTTACATTTAATGTAAAGTGTAAACCACAGAGTTCAAACCCAACCCCTTTACTAATGATCAAGGAATTTTATAGCCCTCTATGACCTCACACCCGCCAAACAAGGAGCTTTTGTACACAGCCTTCTCCAAAAAGGAAACTGCCATGTAGAGAAAATATTTTGCTGTAGTAGCCATGTGAAACAGACAACCAGGCCAGCTGGAGAGTTTTCATGGCTGAGTCGATGACTTTTTCCAGCACAATTGACTTCTCGTTTCTCAGTGACACCATTCATGTTATTCAAAGAATCAGATGAATTTCTTTTTGGTAAAGCAAGTTATACAAAATGCATCAAGACAGCATCATTGAGGGGGGCAGGATTTGCCTTGTGTGTGAACATTCAAACACCGTGGGAGTGGTGATTGATGAGAACCATCTGGTTGGACAACCATGTTTTGGCTGCAAGATGAATTGTTTTTGTATTTACAACTCTGTAGAGGTTCACTTCCATACCATAAACAGGAGATAGATACATGTAAAAACAGCTATCCAAGCATTATATTTATATTGCAAACTTGGATTTGTAACCAGATGGTCATGCTCATGTTTGTTTATATTAAAACTAGATGTACAGCACTGTGTAAGCATCTTGAGCCACGGCTGATTTCTTTTATAGCTTGTGTCTAAGGAGACAAACTCCACACGAGCAATTTCAGAGGAATGTTTTTTGTTTGTTAAGCCATTTAACATTTACTTGTAAATCACTGAAGCATAAAAAAAGAGACCAATGTGAAGGGAGGAATAAAGAGCTTATTTTAATTTGAATCTTTAGGCACTTTGTTACTAGCAGCCTGTCACAAAAACACATCAACTGTTGCCATTTTGTTAGCATAATAAAAAAATGTCAAAGATAACAAAGTTTGACAGCATAAAATAATATTTTTGTACTGATTACCAAGGGCAAGGAGTATCTTGGGATGGTGTGCAAAGTGTCCTTAAAAAAAACACACTGAGAAAACTAAAGTGGAGACAAGAGAAGTTACACATCTGCTACTTTGATCTGCAAAGCTGAAAGACATGTCTTCAAGAAATAGGGGGGAAAAAATCCAGCAAAAACCTGACGCATGACTTCGATGCATGGCCCTTCAGTTGATCCGTGTAGTGTTCACTGAGGCCACCTAGAAATGGTCTCAGTGGAAGCGTGGCTGTCAAAAAGCCATTCATAAAGAAAGGGAAAAGGCTTGAGAATGCCAAATTACACAAGAACTAGACTAAAATAAAATGAGTGGCAGGAAGTCCTATGGAGAGATAAACCAAATCTTAATATTTTGGTTCTACAGGAGATCAGGACAGAAGGATAACAGTGAGTGTCTACAGTGTCTAAAACACAGTGGATGCGCTGTCATGGTTAGAGTTTTGATGTAATTATGAATGCAGAAAATTACTGTTCGTTTTTGATCCAGCATGCAACACCATCTGGAAAGCATCTGAATGGGAATAGCTTTTTTTTTTTTTAAATCATGACACTGATGCCAATCACAGTGCATAAAAGCATAGCTAGATTGAAAAACAGACAATAGCGTCTCAGAACCCAGATCTCAACATTATTAAAACATTGTGGCAGAAAACGGAACAAGAGGAAGCCAACATCCAAAGAAGGGCTTTCAATGTCCTTCAATGGAGAACTATTCCTGAAGACTATTTACAGAAATTACAAGAAAGCTCGCCTAAGAGAGTTAAGGATGTGTTGAAGAAAAGGTGGTCATACCAAAAACTGACTTTTAAGCTTCTTAAAACTGCACAAAATCTGTTTTTGCCTTATACACTGCATTTCAAAAATATGCTTAAATTGCAGCATCTATTTCCCAGGAAAATGTAAAGAAATGAGGGTCGAGCCTTTTGCATAATACCGTATTTTATGAACAGATACACCTTGTACATCTTTGAGGCTATACTCAGGTCAAATAGTGATTCATCTAAATGATAATGTCATCATGCTATCGAGTTCACATCGACACGTCATAAAATGCACAATTTGTTAAACCAATAAGCACTAAAAGCAAAGTGCAGCTATGGATAATAGACATGGCACTAATTTTGCAAATATCAGTTGATAAACTAAGGAACTGAACTTGATCATAGTATTAGTTAGTTGTTAATTTCATGGCAACGCTAACGAAATGATCAGGAGATCGCTGATGTCATAGGTTTCTTTTTCCCAAGATCATAAATGTAAGTACAAAGTTTCATAGCAATACATTTCTGTTGAAATATTTTCAGTCAGAAGTAATATTCCTATACATAGAGCTAATGGGGCTAAAACATTTAAGCCATCATTCTGTAATAGAGCTTATTAGAATCTAAATGATTTATTTAGAGATTAAAATATTAAACAACAAAATTGAGGATACGACAGTGTGCAAGTTTTGCATGACTAAATGCGCACATATGAATGCATTCTGGATAAAGCGCTTGCTGGTCCATGTCTGGAGCACCGGTGAAACTGCTTGAGCCATCATCGCTTGAACGACTGTGCTAAACAGCTGACCGTGCTTTTAAAGCCCTCTTTTGGAGCGATGGATACACCCGAGGCCCAGAGCGGCACTTTGCTGCCAGTGGGATTCATTATTTACTCAGTTAGTCCTAAGTGTGAGCAGAATGAGCCATATGATACTCCCTGTAACAGGCGCATAATTAAATGATATATAAATACATCCTAAGTGCCATAAATGCCTATGAGTCCCTGTGCTGTGTGTGAATTCACTGACTTTAAAAGGGGAATGCCAGTGGTATTAATTTACCTTTTACCATCACTAAATCCTATAAAAAAATGATTTTTCCTTACTTTTCACCTGATTTTTTTCACATTGTTTTGTACGTTTGTATGCATATCATACAAAAAGAGTTAAAAAATATATTTGTGCTATCCCTTTTAACAAAAGAAAGAAATGCTCATACTTCCAAGGACAGACGGGAAACGAGTATCTCTCCAAGTATTAGTTTGTGCTGAAGGTAAACTTGTTCATACAGTATCCTGTTCTGCTCTGGTTACTGCCAGCAACTTGATGCCCATGGGAAAGGATTTGTTCCTCTTTCAGGAACAAATCCCTCACAATATTTTACTTTGCAAAGTTTGCTGTCAAGGTTTTTTATCTTATTATCAGGGGAACCGTTCAGTTCGGAGTTAATACCATGGAGCCTTTAAATTAAAAATGACAAAAATGAGAGGCTGGTAGAGGAAAACTAATTTTCTACTTTGCACATCTTTCATTCAAGGAGCATGTCTATATCTTCTAGAATAGTCTATAGTGGTTTGAACTTGACTTGACTTTAAAACTATAGATTTGCACAAGAAAGAGATACACATTAAGAAATACATTTAAAATACAAATGCATGCTCATGCTACTGTATTGTTTGACCTGTGTGCGCTGTGACATTAAAATGATGATATTATAAGGCGTTGAAGGTGCATAAATGCAAAAAAGGGTAATTTTAGCCTACTGCTGATTGATTACTAGGCAACATGAAGACACGATAGATCATGTATAATTCAGCTTTTATGTATATGAATGAGATATAATTATTTTGAAACTGAAATAACAGAAAACAGGTAAAAAAACAGGTTCTTTTAGAACATTAATAGGTTATGATATTATGATGACATCAGGATAAATATAACTGAAAATTTGTGGATATAAATTAGATACTACTGTCATGAAAACTATCATAAAAATGATAAAATACTTTCATAAAGTGTTATAGGGACAGTAATGCTGAAAACAGATTATTTTATCCCGTTGCTAGTTACAACATCACAATATCTGATATAGATAAGAACCTTCATGGGCCTAAGATGTACCTGTGTGCCAAGTTTGGATGCTCTCCTGATCATCTAGGGAGGTGTTGGCGGTCACACACACATAAAAAATGAACATGCAGAAAGACAGAGAGAGATTTTGTATATTATAGTAAGATGAGCGTACCAGCCATGTAGTATTATAACACTAGTACACTTTCCATCAAAGTCAACTGAGCTAAAGATAAGATTTTTTAAAAATCAAATATGTTCAAAGTTACCAAACCTAACAGGTTTCTCCCTATTTGGTTAAATGCATGACAGGTCATGGTTAAGCTCCCCAGTTAACCTAGGCTATAGCGAGCATGGGTGCTAAGGTAAATAACCCATTTAAGGTTATGATAAAGTTCCAATATTTGGGTAAACCCTTTGAGATGTATGCATCATCTCATTTCAAAGGGGTCCAACCAGACTCTTCTTATCTCCATAAAGGTAGATTTATTTTTTTGAATGTTGGGTACTGTAAAAGAAGATTAAATACACATTGCTTTTTAAAAAAAAAAATATTTATGCACAGGTTGGTAATAAAATATGCTATGTAAGCAAAGAGATGTGAGTAAAAGCTCACCTCATCATCCAGCTCCCTCCTCTGAGCCTCCTCAGCACATCTCTGGAGTTCTTCCTGAATCACACGGGCATACTCAAAGTCCTGCTCCTCTCTACAAAGCAGTCGCAGAAGAAAATTACTTCTCATATTTGTGATTTATGGATACAATAATCAACATAACATGCAGCAAAGTAAAAGAAGACATAAATTTGTGCAATAAATTTCCATGCAGTCGCGTAAGGGTTGCATGTAGCACAGTGTGGTTATTGCAGGAGTGTGCTTTGAGGAGTCACCTACAGTTGTCTGGAGGCCTGTCTCTGAAGGGCACTCTGCTGGGCCTGCTGCTCCTCCTCTTCATCCTGCAGCTTCTTGGCTACACGGATGTCATTCTGCACAAGCTGGTTCTTCAGAATGTTGGTGGTATAGTATTGCTCGACTGTAAGTGCAAGGCAGAGAAAAGGGGAGATAGTAAGGCAACGTGCAATGCAAGTATCAAAAGGGACCGTATTTGATCTATTACATATGAATTAATATTTACTATATTGCATTTGAACTTTAAATCTGTTTTCATTTTAAATCATTATTAATGTTTTGATTATCTGAAACATGGTTTGCTGCATGCCAGCTCTTCAGTGATGACACTTTCGAGGAATCTTAAAAATACATACCAAATTGTATGGCTTTTTTTTTTTTTACAAAGATGTACAGAGACACCACAGCAGCAACCAAAAAGGCTTTCATGGAAATACATATGTTATGTAGTACATATACATCTGGTTGTTATATAATCTTTTCTATCTCTTTGTGTCAATTTAATATAAGTTTTTGCAATAAAATCCAATCTAACGCAAACAATCCAACAGCAATGCCATACGTTTTTACCTTTATAAAGATGGTTTTAGTGCGAGAGTTGACGCTTATTGAAAAGTGTTCATAAAATTTTGGTTGCGTACCGTAATTAAAATGCTCGAGGGAGCTGTTGTTTTGGATTGCATTATTTGGCACACCAGTGCAATTCTAAAGTCCTTGGCAAGTCTGCAGCGTAACACTGCGGTTGTGAATACTTCAGGAAAAGATGAACCCAACATACAGTTTGGGTTTCACTGAGACAGAATGGAGTGCAGCTCACATAATAGAAGTTAGTAGACGCTTGCACAGTATGCAGCTGTCAAATAGCTGCTTAACTTTGTACTTACTCTCCTGCTCTTGCAGGTTGTGTGCCAGCGCTCCATCCTCCAGCACAGCAAAACACTGGCACACTGAAACAACAGACAACAGCAACATTTACAAACAGTTACAAAGTGCTCACAAATGAATGAAGGGGTGGGATACAAGTGTTTAATAAAGTGAGGAGTTCTCAGAGGCTGACGATTACTAAAACAACAGAAAACCGACAGCAGTCAGGAATGGATGTCAATGGCTCCATCGAAAAACAAAAGCTAAGCCTTTGGATGAACTGTGCTGCTTTTGGTCCAACAGTCTGTCCAAAGGGAAACAATAGGATACAAGTGCTGTGTGTTATGATGGATGTTTACACGACACAGACAAAAGCAGAGGAGTGTCCCTTTAAAATGAAAAAAGCAACAGTCCACCACTCTGGCATCACTGTTAAATACATGAAAGGATCTTATAAAATGTTTATAGCAGGGTAGCTGCATTTCAGAGAAAGATTCAAGTGCCCAAAATTAGCAGTCACAGACTTTTAGAGCAAAATAGCAGTTCCACCGTCCTGAGCGATGCTCATGTGCTACACGTGTGCGTGAGCAGCTTTTAACAGTAACAGCAGTACAACACACAGTCATTCACTCATTGTTAAAAGGATGCTAAGAGATGCCGAGATGCATGCTTTTCTTTCACTTATGTGCTCACTATGCCTACCAAATGAATATGCAAAGTTTAAGAGCAGCTGACTGCAAACCTTTAAGTTATTGCAGATGGTACAAATGTACAGTGTGTCGAATGAAAGCTGTAAGGCTGACATAAATCCAAAGGATTTAACTACAAGCTTGCTGTATTCCAACTCTGTCTGGTACTCCATATCAAGCCACAAGTCTTTCATATCCTGTGATCCAATAGTCTGGCCACCTGCTGCTAGATATGGCAATAAAATATATCAGTTTCATGTCATTAGTGAACTCTCACCAGAGAGTGCTGCAAAGACTAGCACTTTAACATAGACTTAAGAACATAAGAATTATACAATTGTTATTCTAAACTATAAACATATTAAGTGCTTACAGTAGTCCTTAATGAGGCACAGTAGCTTCTTATCTGTGTTTAAAGATCTGTCAAACAAACTCAAACGTTACTCAGGAGAAAATGAACACAGACAGCAGCATTGTGGCTTAGATGTTTCTCCAACTCTTCCATTTCTCCACTCACACAGCTTACAGTGACCCCGCCAAAACCGCTTAGCTACCTAATAGATTTTCATCAGGGAACCCAGAGAGTTGCTTTTTCGTACAATGGAGGCTTCTAAATAGCAAAAGAACGACAGAGGACAGTGTCTAAGAGGAGATTTAGCTCACTGCTGAAAACCTTTCATGCTGAGCCAGAGACTGGGCCAATTAAAAACACCTGTCCTTCGGCTAATCCATCCACTGAGCCCAACACAGCGGGCTGTGTAACGGTTGTGGAAACAATGGCTCCACAAATGTTGCACACATGCTTTCAGTTGTTTAAGATAACCTGATTAGCTTGTGAAAGCTTAAAATTTATATGCAGGCTATAACACATTTTACATTGATATTGTTGGGGTTTTTTTTTATTATTCTTTTAGCCTTTTTTAGGATATATAGACAGATAATATTTCTAAACTTTCAGGAAAACCTAGTAGTGATATATACTGCTTGGACAATTGGGTACACCAGCATGAGCTTACATACTATCAAAGCTACTCAATTTCTGATGCTTGTAAGTTTTTAGACTGAGAGACACTTCTAATGCTCTTCCTTCTAGCCCTGTGACAGATTGGTAAAGCCTGTACCCAGGCAGCTGTGACCATAAGTTGAACAAGTGGATGGACAGATGTCCAGGAAAATTTTACCTTTAACCACAGCCTCAAAATAAACACATAACTGTCAACAAAAAATTATTAATATGAGCGGGTATAAAAAAAAAAAAAAGAATTTGTGCCAGGGCTGTTGTATTAAATTGCACTGGATTGTTCAGGGGTCAGGTTGCCACTTGCTTGAGGATGCTTAATGGAGAGCAGCATGTTATTATTAAAGGTGTATAGACAAATGAAGTACACATTTACCCAAAAAAGGTTTTAAATAAAAGGCAGACCAAGATCTCTGAAATGTACTTACTATCTGGAGATGTATTAGATGGTAATACTGATGACGACAACAAATTGGTGGCGTCGACATTCATTCTAAGAGGGATATATTAGGATTACAGGACAGCAGGTGAATACAAATATAACATCAGGTGTTTGATCCATTCCAAGCTTGAAGAATGTTTCAAGACATTCATTCATATCTAACTCATACCTATCTAAATATGCATTCCTCTCGCATTTTGTTGAACTTTATCTTGACCACTAACGCCTAATCCTATAATGCTTAATACAATTTTCTTCATTTATACAAAACACAATTGTATCCAACGTTTTATAAACAATCAAAGGCTCTTCCTTGTTTGAAAATAGGACAGTAAAAAAAAACAAAAAAAAAACCATGACCCAAATGCCTGAAACACTGCTTAAAAAAAACAAAACAACCTGCTAAGAAGAAGTCTCTGAGGAGTAGGTTTCAATCTAGAGAGGCTCAACTGTCACAGGCCATGAAAATCACCCAGACAGCACAAAGCCCCAAAGGGAGCCTCTTTACAACACGAACGACCCTACAAGCCTACACTGAGAATTTTACCAAAACAGACATGCATTACCACTTACACCTGTCGCTGAGCTTAAGAGACTATCCGCTAAATGGATCTCTAACCTGCCCTTATGGGTCCAGTCTGCCGGTGAGGAGGGTTTAAGTCGAAGGATTGATTTTATCCGACGGTACAAAATGACAAGTCCAAACAATTTACTCTTCGAATCCAACGAAGAAAGAAGAGCAAAGCGGAAAATGAGGGGAAAATGAAAGAAATGACAGTCTTCTCTGGCATGAGCATGGATGTGCATGTGGGTGTGTCTGCATTGTGGGCGAACTTGTTTTTCCACAGCACTGCTATAGGGGTTGGAAACAGAGACTTCACAATTGTTACTTCTAAACAGGTTTTGTGAAACAAGGTGTGAGACACTCAGAGCCACCAATCCCCCCCAAAAAACATATGCTCAGTGTGACTGCAGGCAATCCAACTGTAAGCTTCTTAATGAAGGTCCTTAATGAGGTTGTGTCTGTTTTCTAAGAGGATAGTGAATCAAAGATCTAGCAGAGAAAAAAAATTAATGCTACGTTTGGAAAAAACAAGGATAAGATCCACTGAGAGTGAGAAAGAGTACAAAGCAAAAACATAATGTAAAAAAAGCAAAAAAATAAACAAAACAAAGCCTGAGTCAGCATCACTGTATAGCACAGAACTTCCCACTAGTTTGACTTTTGTAATATCCAATTTTTAAGCAAGAACCTACCACGGCTATGACCTTAAAGCCTAGACAGTCGTATGGAAAAGTCTGTTTTCCATACATTTAAATGCATTTTTTTCAACTGCAACCTTCACTCATAATACAGAAACACATAAGTGAATGTGTTTTTATTAGCGCACTAACAGCCGATCTTCCAAAACAAAATTATGCAGATCATGTCTATGATCCAGCGCGCAGGAACAGCCGCTCAAACACTGACAGAGATATTTCACTTTCATCTTCACAGCTACTTGGATAGAAGCAGTTGCAAATGCCTGCCAAACAAAGAAACCGGCTAAAGGAGAAATGACAAGGGTTCTATTTTCAGCCAAAATCCCCCACCGACCGCCCACATGCTCTCTCCTCTCGCTCCCTTCCTCTCTGGACTGTTCTGCTCTCCTCCTCACTGCTTTTTCTGCACAAGATTCCACCACGAAGTGCCTGGCCATCCCACAGATCTTTGTGTTGTGCTATAAACGCAGCATACTGGGCCAAATAACTCCTGAACTGGACCAGTTTGTCAGGGAGAACAAAGAGAGGTGAGGGGTATTGGGACTCTGGGTCAGTTGGTGAGAGTGAAATTAGGAATGAGGGGGAGGTGGGGGGGAATTCCTCTGGGAGCTGCATTCCCTCAGCACATCAGGCTATATCAGGAGCAGGAGAGGAGGGAAAAAACAGGAACTGATAAGGGGTGCAGTGGAAACAAAGAAAGCTGACTTTGCCAGGGCTCTTAAATGGTGAGGAAAGTGAAGGTGGAAAGGGACAAGGGAAACTTTGGCTCTTAGGAAAAAAGGAAGCATATGCATGCACAAAAGAACACAAAGTAAACCATCGCAGAACTAAAAAGAGAAAATGTCTCTCTGGTAAAAAAGATAATGGATAAAGAAAAAAAAATCAGTGACCAGACAGATGATTTACATACTGCAATTGCCTCATTGACAAGTTTATAGGTGCTATTACTGGCTTTGTTTGTGCACTGGCCCCTGCTCAATAAAGCATGAAAATGCTAAGCTGCACAGTGTGCCCTTTGTGTGTGGAAACAAGAGTGGAGTGCTGAATTATCTCCCTTGATAAAAAGACTCGCAGACCTACTTCTATCCCATTCATTAGCTTGGACATGCCAAAGAATGAGTCTTCACTGAGGCGACAGCTTACAAGTTCCTAACCTGTGAATGTTTCCACACTTACATGCAAGCAGATAAAAATCAATTTAGCGCTGCATCTTAATAACACCGAGACAATATTGTGGCGTTGCTTAGCTTTTTTCTTTCTGCTCATATTTAATACCCACATTGGCATGTTTAAAATATATTTATGCTTGTATCGTGGTACGCATAGTATCACCATATTCTTGCCAATACACATTCCTGCTTTCCATATATACACGCTTCTCTAACTATACTGAATATGCTAGACAATAAATTCATATTTGTTTAAAACATTTTAAATGTATTGTGCTGAATAATTTTCAATCTATAGCTTAAAATGACTGAAGACAAATTCAGATCGGGCTGTTGACCCAGTTCGGATCTTGAGCTTTATATTTGCTATCATATATTACTGTTACTACAAATAAGAATATGCTCAACCGACAATTTATACACTTTGTTACCAGTTTAATAGAATAGAATAGAATAAAATAGAATAGAATAGCCCTTTATTGTCGCTGTACATGCACAACAAAATTGTTGGTGCTCCGCATCAACTGTGCCGGAATAAAAATGAAATAGTGGACAGCAGAAATAAATAGCAAACAGGAGAAATATATACAAAACAAGAGAAAGGCACACATTACAGAACCAGTTGCAAAGTGCTTGGAAGTACTGCAAAGAAAATACTTGATCTGAATAGAGTAGGTATGGCTTGTTACAGGAATATATCCTACCTCAACAACGATTATAATGCACTGATTTCATTTTTAACTATTTTGCAGAAAGCTGTTTGTAGAAGGGCTGAAATGTATTGTTGTAGACTGACAGCTACAACACAACAAAGACAAACAATGAATAAGCTCAATTTTGTCCCACCATTTATACCAAGCTAAAAAAAAAACAAGCACATAATTGTGAGTATTTTGCAGAGCACCTTCATCTGAGCTGAATTCCCCTTTCTTTCCCATGGATTCACATATCCCAGCTATCTCATTCTTTGCTCTTATCTGCATCCAGCATGCCAGTTCTGTCACTCATGAGATCAATCTCTGTAAAGCAATGCAACATGACCCTTTGTACACAACAACTTTGTACTCCAGCCTTATTTTACCTGGCTTTAGTCTTTCCTGTATGGTTGCTGTCCCAAACTCTATACGGGAAACCAGCTTAATAAACCTAAAGCTGGCTGGACATGTGCATGGACCCTCATCAAGTTTTTTCCAGGCTCAGCCTTTTGGGGGATTGACTGCGCACATAAAAATGACTGGTTCAAATAAAGCTTGGACAAAGAGGTTTTGGTACCTTTTATAATGCTTGCATTTGCTTGTTATTTCTGGCCGTACAATAATTAAAAATGGTTTTGTTTTTAAGATTGGGCAAACTAACCCCTACTTAGAAAATGCTGGTTAAAAATATTTTTGTCCTGGTGATTTTCCTTTGGTGAAAGGCCAGACCAACCTGTTGCAGGGAAAAACCCTGCTCATACTTCAGTTGTTTGAACAGCGTTAATGATGCGCACGTTTCCTTTGTTAGATAGTGATTCATAAAAGACGATCAGTTCTTTTTAGATGCTTAGTCCATTTGAACAATTATTAAACTTGATTGAAATATCATCAGATCACTGTGTGTTTATTTTTTTCTCGTGATTGCATACAAAGCAATTCAATTTGACTGCAATAAATAGACTAGAGTTTTTTAGATTTCCTAACAGACAATTCGGTACCAGCTTTATTCCTGTTACCATGCAGCACAGCACTTAAATCTGCACTGTCTGCTGCATCAGCCACAACACACAACAAGACACTTCTTATCCGATGTAGATACAGAGCACTGATTTAAGTTAGTCATAACACAAAAATGAGAGGATACAAAGTGGTCGCTCTCATTCTCTCTCAAACAGAAGGGTAGACAAGTCTGCTCTTAGCTAGAGTAGAGTGTCAATAAAAACTCTTACGGGCTGCATGTCTGTAGCTCAGTAAGTGCCCATGATCTCTAACCTGCATGTATAGAGGCTAAACACGCACACACACAAAGCTTTTCTCCAGACATACAAAGAACCACTTTTCTCTTGAACTTTCTATAGCTGCTAAAGTTGGGTCTGTGTGGGAGTGTATAAGCCTACCTTCTTGGACACGTGGAAGGTTGGATTGGTCAATCTCCAGCTCTGCCATCACTGTCCTCCCTGTGCCCTTAAAGCCTCATGGTGATACAGAAGACTCTGGCAACAGAAAGAAATTGGTTCTTAATTAACATACAGCAAAATTAAGAAGCAATGAGTTTCCACGCCAGACAACCACAGTGAACTCGAACCTCAAATAAAACATTTGGTAATAAACATACTGAACAGATATTAACCCACTAATATTCGCCCACAGAGCTGATTACTCACTAACTAGCTGAGATCAATGGCTACCAGGAGCAACGCTACCGTTGCCATTAACTAAAGGTTAGAATGTAATGTAAACATAATTTGAAGGCCACTTGCAGAACAAAGTAAAATAACAGCAGCCCTACCTGTTCCCAGCACGCAGCCGCCCACGCACACACTGCAGTGTTGTGTTTGTACACAGCCTATTCAACAAGTACCAAACATGACAGCGAAGTGTCAACTTTGGAGTCGCTCGCACTTCTCCCTCCCTCTCTCCTTTCCTGTTTCTCTGTCTGTGCTACAAACTATGCAAAATGTCACGAGCTCACTTGACCGTTTCTAACGCCTCTACTTTGGGTGTGAATTTTAAGCGAAAGCGGAGGTACTTGTTCATCACAGAAACAAAGACCCGTAGACTCGTGATGGTAAGCCAGGGCGGACAAACTTAGCCCACAGTCTGTCGCTCCGGCTGCTGCTTCTTCGCAGCTCCTGTTCGGCAACAGTGTGGGCGGTTAAAAGATGCTGCCTTTACGTGCAAACCGAAACTCGGGCTCTCGTCTATCACGAGCCACGGTATCTTAATAAAAATTCAAATGTATTGCCAAATGTTTTACCAGCTCTTTCATTCCAGGAAAAGCCCGTTTTCTTCGGTGGCAGAGGCAGAGGCAGGATAAAAGGTCGGTATAGAAAATAATAATAATAATAATAATAATAATAATACTGTAAGGAAAGAAGAGCTCAATTCAGGCCAAAGGTGATTATGAATTCAGATTGGACACGTGGTAGCAGGACACTGAAGTTGGTGACACCCATCTTGGTTACTATTAAAGCTCCAGTAATGCTGTCCAGGCCTAAGCATACATAGTTGTTCAGCGAGTGAATTTGTATTTTTCAACAGTCCTTGAAGGCATCTCAAATGTTCCAATTGCTCACATTTTCCAGAGCGGCATAGGCTATACTTTACTATGTATTCTTTTTATTGCTGTAGTTTGAATATAGTAGGCTGTGTTTATTGGTTTAATTGCAAAGCATGGAGATGGGAAAGAACGGAAAGACATTTGAGAGAGGGAGCTGAGGAAGGAATCTATCTGTCGAATTCAAAGCTGATAATTAATTTCACTCAACATCTGCTTCAAGGAAAAAAAAACTAGATTTGTGCAGAAATAATAGGCAGAACTAACATTTCCTGCAGTGTACAGATAATAAGCCAGACTGACAGTTTTAAGACTGATAATATTGGAGAGAGACAGCTCTGACTAAGAATACGATTCCCCCCTTAGAAATACATTTAAACCCAATTTACTGGTAATGTGTAAAATGACAACTATTAAACGTAACGTTTCTAAACGTAACGATGCCCTCTGCTGGCTGCGTTTGTGCCGCTGAAATATTGGCAAGTTAGAAAGAAATCTCTGGTCTCGTAGTTGAAAAGGATGGCAATGTTTGGATTGTTATAACTTGTTGATGTGAGGCGTAGTTTTAAGATGCATGATTTTCAGGAGGTTTAGACAGTCCGATGTTTTCAGGGATAAAGGTTGGTAAATAAGGGCATATTAACCAAAAAACAAACAAGCATGGGAATCAGATCAAGAAGAAGAAGAATTCAACTTGAGAGTATCAAAGAAATAAACAGATGGAGAGAAAGAGATTGGGCCGGAGGGGGTCTCATTCAATTCAACTAGCACATGGCGTTTCCACCTGGTGGTGACCACATTTTTAGCAGGTGTTAAGCCAGCGAAAAGCATCTTTCTAGACTTTGTGTGGTGCATGAAAAGTAGTCACCCGAGGCTATTCCCATACCATGAAATAAAAGGCGTCACTTGTGTCTACGAGCCTCTTTCTCTGTATGCATCGCCAAGACTATGAATGGCCTTGTTATACCACACCTAACAATGTCCAAATATGAAATTCCTTCTTTGTGTTTTCCTGCTCAGTATTTTATTATGGAGCTGAGATGGAGAGATGTAACTTTCAGTTGTGTCTGTCAGGCTGAAGGACATCACGTCTGACACAGTGGTCAGCAGCACAGGAGCACCACAGGGAACTGTGCTGTCCCCTCTTCTCTTCACCCTGTACACCTCTGACTTCTGCTACAACTCTGAATTATGCCACATTCAGAAGTTTGCAGATGACACAGTCATCATGGGGTGTATCTGGGATGATCAGGAAGAGGAGTACAGAAGTCTGGTGAGGAACTTTGTCGCATGGAGTCACACAAACCACCTGCAACTCAACACCTCAAAGACTAAGGAACTGATTGTGGACTTCGGGAGGTCCAGAGAAGGTCCACTGCCGGTTCAGACAGAGGGGGAGGAGGTGGAGGTGGTCAACAAGTACAAGTACCTCGGGCTGTGGGTGGACAATAAACTGGACTGGTCATGCAACACAGAGCACCTGTATAAAAAAGCCCAAAGCCGACTGTACTTCCTCAGGAGGCTGAGGTCTTTTAACATCTGCAGGAAGCTCCTGAGGATGTTTTACCAGTCAGTGGTTGCTGGAGTACTTTTCTAAGCTGTGGTGTGCTGGGGGAGCAGCACAGCAAAGAAGGACTCATGCAGGCTGGAGAAACTGATCAGGAAGGCTGGCTCTGTGGTCGGCATGAAGCTGGACACTCTGGTGACAGTGGCAGAGAAAAGGACACTAAAAAAACTGCTGGACATTATGGACAATGCTGGGCATCCTCTGCACACGGCCATTAACAACCAGAAGAGTCTGTTCAGTGACAGGTTGCTTCTCCCAAAGACAAGAACTAACAGACTTAAAAACTCCTTTGTCCCACACGCCATCAAACTGTTTAACTCCTCTCTGGAGGGGGGGAGACAGGTGGACAAAGGAGGGGGGAACAACTAAGCTGTAGTGCCTCTTCACTTCACTGTGCAATAGCTTTTGTGCAATACTTTTGTTAATAGTCAACAGTGCAATAGACTCAATACTTGAAATGTGCAATTCACTTGTATTTTTATTTTTATTCCTATTTATTCTATTTATCCCCTTCATATATTTTATTTATATATGTCTCTGTATTTATATGTGTGTGTGTGTGTGTGTGTGTGTGTGTGTATATATATAATATTCTGTAACTGTAACTTCTGTCGGTGCTGTGCTTTTGGAAACCGAATTTCCCAGAGGAACCCACCCGAGGGATTAATACAGTTTTATCTTATCTTATCTTATCTTATCTTATCTTATCTTATCTTAAAGGTTCTCAGTCATCCAGGTCATCGTAGTCTAAGGAGCTTGGAAAGAAAAGCGTCTGGACTTCTTTAACCTCCTAGGACCTGGTGTGTAGACATCACATTTTGGGTTGTCTAGAGCACAATACTAAATTTTGCCCAATCAGCCCAAATAGCAAAGAGAAATTAAAAATGCATGCCATGAAAGAGTTTAAGTCTTTTTTCCCAGATTTTAAGCTCCATGGGAGGGTTGTCGACCCCCTATTGATCCTCTACCTAATCACGAGAGCCAAGGTGTGAAAACGGGTGTGGGTCACAATCAGCCAAGGTTTCGGGTGAACCCACAGAGAAACCAGCCCAACCCTATCATGTGATTTACTGAGAAATTTCAGTTGTCTAATTCAGCCAGATAAAATCGTATACATGCTTCAAATAAACTTTAGTACAATCTCAATTTCCAAAAGTTGTGATGCTGTGTAAAATGTGAATAAAGCAAACATCATTTTTGCACATCTTATAAATTCATATTTTATTCACACCAGAACATAGAAATGTGTAAACAGACACATTTTACTGATTTCTGAAAATTTTATAGCTCATTTTGCAATTGATGGCCACAACATGTCTGAAAAAAGTTGGAAGAAGGCTAAAAAAAAAAGGCTGAAAAGGTCAGTGGTATTAAAAAGAAGCAACTGGACAAACATTCTGAACTGGAAACAGGTCAGTAACATGATTAGACATAAAAAGAGCATCCTAAAGAGGCAGAGTATCTGGGAAGTAAAGATAGGCAGAAGTTCACCAATCTGCAAAAAACAAAAACTGCATCTAAAAATTGTGGAAAACTTTGAGAGTAATGTTCTTCAATGTAAAGTTGGAAAGATTTTGAATATCTCACCATCTACAGTACATAATATCATTCAAAGATTTAGTGAATATGGCGATCAGGCGACACTGCATTAAAAATGCTATTATAAAATGCAATTAAAAATGTTTTCCCAAAAACACCGATGCCTGGAGGAAATTCTTGATTAAATTGTCAAAAGGACTGCATAGAGTAGGAAAAACATCAAGTTTGGGGGAGCCATAGTCTATTATAGATGCTGAAATAACTTGGAATTGGCACACTGGCCTCGACTAATTCAGAATATAAATTTTAATTGCATTTCATGATATATAGCAACACCTAATGGAGTGTCTGGCATGCAAAGCATAAAATAAAATGTCACTGTTGCTTCATTGGCTCTCATTATCAGGGACTGAACGCTGATGTCATACATCTAATAAATATACAAATTACACAGACAGGTGCAAAATATGACTTTGTAAATAACTCCCCCCTCCCATCACCCATCTCATACTCAATAGCCAAGCCTCTGTTAGGCTGAGCAGTGATGCTTGGTGTACTCATAAAGTTTCGTTTTACTGCATGACTAAGACGTGAAAGCACAGATATAAAAGCTTAAAAACGCCAGGCTTCTAAATAAAATGCATCAATCAGTCTGATTCAGTGGTCCATGGAAGCATTTTCTTGTTGTCTTAAAATGTCAGACGGCTTATAGACAACATGGCCCTCAACATTTTAACATGTCCACTCCACCTCTCTAAATAATTACAGATTTATTAGGGGTTTGCTGGGCTTTGTTTGCAGAGATACAGCCAGAGGATTCAAATGGTCCAAGAGTTTAATGAACTAGTAGTATAAAAATATTAGTCATTTGTCTGCCCTGTTTCTCCATCTGCTCCCTCGTGGGATTACACTGACGTGACATCTTAAACACCTGCCTCGATACCTTTTACAAAGTCAGTAAAAAAACATTCAATCAACCTTAAGAGCAGGTAAAATATGACTATGCCCTTGAAGAATGGGCCAACTCACATCTTTTTTTTATTGAGACTATAAGTCACCTGTTGATTTATCACAAGAGTGCGACTCTGGATGATGTTGTCGTCCGTAGCAGCAAGAAAAGGTCTATGTCTGCTGTGCATCATGCAGGAAGTGGGTGGGAAGGGGTTAGGCTACAGCTTCAACTATATAACACCGTTAGGATCAGCAGAGCACGTAGATTTCTCCTTTTCACCCTCTGTGCAAATCAGAGCCACTTCCATCAGCACTGATGAAGTGTAACCATCTTCTCTCCTGGGCCTTTGTGCTTGTGGCCTCAAGCCCACTGCTGGCCCACCCCATTACAGAATCTGCTGAGATGCCGTATCCAGGACCTGGTGAGTGGAAAGTAATATCTTTATTATAGCTGTTATACAAAGTAATTCCCTGTGTCAGTCCCTTGATTAGCATTTTTAGTAATAAAACATAATTTGCAACGATTAATGGCAAGCTAGTCG